AGATGACACCGATGGTACGTCACAATGACGAAGTGTAAGAAAGTGATATATAAGGAATACAGGCAAAGAAGTAAAATTGTTCGCAGGCGCTTTATAAGCATTTCAGTGCAATACCGAATAGTTTATGACACAAAGACGCATTAGAGGATTTTTTACGTGGTAGAATTTCGGCCGTCTGGAATGTGGGCGTACCCATGGAAATATCAAACGAACTTGGAATGCCCAGAGTGTCATCTCCGGGCTTTGGCAACGATTCCAAGATGATGGTAATGTGAGCAGACGTTACAGCACAGGTCGCCCCAGAGTTACAACGCCGAATGGGACCGGTATTGGCAGTTAATGCCAAAAGAACAGGCCGGAGCACCCCTCAGAACCTGTCTCGTCAGCTCTCTCAGCCACTGGTACGACAATTCAGGGCAGGACCGCGTACAGACGCTTAGGGCAGATTGGTTATATGCTCGTAGACCTGTCAGATGCGTTCCACTTACTGCAACTCACGTCGTCTGACGGTTAGCCTGGAGTAGAGAGCATGCACTGTGGACACCGCAACAGTGGGCTTGTGTGATGTTTTCCGACGAGTCCAGGTTTAGCTTGCAGTTATGATTCTCGCCGGACTTTCATATGGAGAGCTCCAGGTACCCGTTACCACCAAGAAAACATCATTGAACGACACCGTTACGGTGGTGTGGAGAGTGCTCGTTTGGGAAGTGGAATTATTCTGGGTTCCAGAACTGACCTGCATGTTCAAATTGGAACCATGACAAGCCATCTATCGGGACGTCATTCTGGAACAACATGTACATTTGTTTCGGGGTGCCATGGGCACACAATTTGTTTATGGATGACAACGCCGTCCTCACCGTGCAAAATCGTAAGCGAATGCCTTCAATCGGAGGATATCACCCTAGTAGGACTGGCCAGCATTCTCACCGGACTTGAATCCAGTAGAACACGTGTGGGACATGCTTGGCCGACGAGTTGCAAGCCCGTCAACCTCCTTCCTACATGTCTACCGGAACTTCGGAGTGCATTTGCTTTTTGAGTGATGTAATATCCCCAAGATCAGATCGATAATTTGATACTCAGCATGCCTAGGCGTTGTACGGACTGTATTGCATCGTCTGGGAGACATACAATGTATTAAACAATCAAACCAACCATGTAATATTGGTTTTTTGTAAATAAGTTTTTTTTTTTTTTTTTTGTAATTTGCTCCAGGGAGAAAAAAATTCGCTAATTTTTTTAATAATATCAAACATATAGCATCTTTTTTTTGCTCTTTACCTTTGTTTAATAAATAAGCTTTACAAGTAAGTCAAATTTGTTTTGCTTCTAACTCTTCCTTTGCCTGATTTTGCATTATCCTTAATTTATGGACATGAGTTTACATAAACATGGTACGTCATAAGGTGAAAACATGATATGTAATTCACATGAACGAAACACCTTAAATGTTACACGAGGGTGATGCTAATACTTAGGGTTATGCTGTCATCTGACATAATATTACTTAGTAAATAAAACATAAGATTATCGCTTTATGTAAAGATACATAATAGGTTAGAGGGGGAAACAAAACTAAAAATTAAAATGCATTGACTCGTGCATACTTATAGTTTTGCTGTCACCTTGCATGAAGAACATAACAAAATGTATACATAGTACGTGCATACTAATGCTATCATCTTGCGTAGAGATTCAAAAGAAATGAAACATAGATATACATAAAACGTACATAACAGTAGGTGTTACTTAATGCCTATATCCAACATATGTGACATCTATTATTATTACACTTACATGATTATATATATTGGCTCGGTATGCGATAACTAAAGCATGTATATTACATACCATATATATTGCACAAGGTTGATTCTGCTACTTCTTAATTTAGCCCCAGTTTAAAATATCGCGATAATATTCTCACGTGATCTCTATTTTTCATTTTTAAAAAAATTAAGTTTGATAGATTGCAATCACATTTACAAATTATGGTCTGCATACATAAAAGAGTTAAAATTTACATAATACAAATAATTGTTTTATACATAATGTAATTTCTTTTTTACAAAATTTCAGAGCTACCTATGTATTATATGAATATTTTATACATAATCGCAGCTATTTTTAATTTGAGTTTTTTTAAAGTCTCATTCACCGTAATTTTCGATTGCTCGCATTGTTTTCTAATTCTCTCTCTCTGTTTAGTTTCGGCTTATCGAAATTTGACTGTAATTCCTTTCGAACTTAAATAATATAGTGAAGAAAGATTTCAGCGACATGCAGTAGTTCTTTATGCAGTCCCTGATCACCGTTTAAAAAAATAAAACCAGAGCTAGAAATGACTGTGATCTCTAAAATCTTCCTTTAATTTCTCTTACAAAAATATAAAAATATCTCATGTGGACGCCACATGGCTTCCTTGTACGCCTGTTGAATTATACACATTTTTGATACATTTCCATTTAAACTTATTTCCTCGAATTTCATTAGACATTCAGGCCTAGCGTTACTTAGACTTCTAAATTGTTGCTAATTCTGCAACGATTGCATGCACATTAACTAAAGGAGTAAAACCTTAACAGTTACAAGAGAACAACAAAATTCAATCACATAATGCAAAATTTACCAACATATAAGAATAAAAAATCTGAGCTCACCGAGGCGGGTAACAGAGTGAGAATATATATATATATATTTATATACGTTTGGTGCGGTTGATAGCAACGGAAAAGTGAAACACACAATTGCATATTACAGAAGTCCCACATACAAAATGTCAACGTTCTATGGCTACTCGTTTTTCAGTTATACGAAATACGCACGTACGTACAGATGTCACGAAAAAAATCTCTTCTGGATCCATTTTAAATCTATTTTAGAAAAAAAAAAAAAAAGAGTTCTTTATTCTGTCCATACGTACAAATATTACGCAAAAACATTGTTCAAATGGATTCAAGATCAGCCAAAATGGATATTTTCGTTGAAATATATGATACCTGAAATTTTTCCGCGATTACGATACTCCCTTTAGGCCCTATAAGGAAGTAAATAGTTCGTATTACGGGTTTTAAACTAAATTCTGTGGTTAAATCCCCCTACTGTCTTAATGGAATCCTGATCCAATAGATGTATTGTTTCTCGACAAAAAAAAAAAAAAAAAAAAAAAAACTTAAATGTTTCAGATTTTAAATTACGTCCAAAGGGTGGGGCGTTTTTCAACATTTTGTTACATTTATTCTGAAATGATCCACGTGTCTTCGCACTTTTCTTTTCTTTTACGTAACCAATAAAATTCAGTTGCAACAGCAAGATCGCAAAAAAGAATCGTTTTAAAATGGAGAATTGTTTTAGAATTTCCGATACCAGAGACCTACACGCTAAGGCGATTAAAAAATGAGAATTTATATGGGGGGAGTTTAGACAAAATGTGTGTTATGTACAAAGGGGGCCTGGTGATAGCTTAGAAATAATTGAGGTGAATAAAAAAAGTTGATGTTTGAAAACAGGAAATAATAATTAAAAAAATTTAAATTTCAAATTTGATCTTCCGCTGCCATTATTCGTAGGAGGATTACGCATTAAAATTTGAGGCAATATGTACAGGGTTTGACAAAAATAGAGAAATACATAATTATGCAGATTTTCATATTTATTTATTTAAATATAAAAAAGGGGGAAAAACTGTGTGGCAACAGTCTGATGAAAGTGATTCGCCGTTTGTAGTGAATCGACCGCAAAATGCAAAACGAAACAAAGTCCTTCAGCGACAAAGATGATTGGACTAAGAAAAAAAAACATAAGTACTAGAACTCATGAATAAAGTACATGTATGATACAAGCATGAACAAACAACTTTGTCGTATAAATAAGTATACAGGTATAACACTATGTAAACAAACTATACATTATCGTACAAATAATATATTTATTTCATATATATTACAGAGGCGGAATATTTCCGAAGGCGGAAAGGGAAAAAAAAAAAAAAAGGCTAGAACCCTCATCAGGTTTCAAACCATGGATGTTTTAATTTTTAGCTGAAACTGGTACGATTTATATCACAAGATATGATAATTCTGTATAATGGAATATAAGGCACAAATAATGTAACAGATAAATTTCTCACATATATCCTATACTGACATTCATAACTCGCTTAAATTTTGTTATTTTTTTAATAGAGAAAAGAAGGAAGCATTTTTATGGCAATAAAGTTAAAAAAAGGATAGTAAAAAAGAAGAGATTATTTGCGAAAAATAAGATAAATAATTAAATAACATAAGTAATAAGGGATAAAATCTCAAATCATCTTATAAATAAATCATTGTAATTTTTAAGACATGTAAAAATATTGTTATGCTACATTTTATCACAAATAATCCTGATCTTGTTAATAATTAGAAAAATAAGATGATAAATAATTATTCTTATAACTTATTACCTAGTTTATATTTTCTAGAACTATCGTGGCTATCTAGAAGCAAAAAATGAGAAATTTTTTTTAATCTCTTCATTTATTAATTAAAGAAAATAACACTTCTACAAATATCTTTTGCTTAAAATTGCGCTCAGATGAATAAATTTTCTTTTTTGTATGACTTATTGAAATGTTATCAAAATATGAGACACAGTAACAATAGAAAATTTAAAACTTAAGTTTCAATGTGATTGTTATTTCTCTTTGCAGTATAAAATTTTCAAAGGAAATGAAGTTAACTTCGAATATCGTATTTTTCCGAATTCTCCTGAACGTAGTTTCGAACATTATTGAGTTCAAGTGTCATAAGTGAGAAAATTATATTGCAGTAGTTTGAAAAGATTATGATAATTTGCTTTTTTCTTACTGCACTAAATGTAACTGCGAACAAAAAAAGCTTCGAAGAACAATTCCGGAGTGCGTAGCTTTCATCGTTTTTCAACGTATTAGAGATGGAGATTTCGATGACGTCATCGCAGATTCTAAAAGTCTCCCATCTGTGCATGCGAAGCAAAATAGAAGTTACTGCTCTTCAGTGACACAACACGTGGTTTTTCCGTTTGCTTTTGATAAGGAGTCTTCATATTTCCTTCTACTTATAGTAAGTAATTTTTTTATTCGAAAGTGGCATATTTTAACATTCAGAACTGTTGCATTTGATTTAGCAAATGACTTCCCTCCTTCATTTTATTTATGATAAGTTTTGGAGTTTTTTTTTTTTTTTTTAATGGGTATCAAAATTTTGATGAAACATATTGACAATATCTTCACTTGATATGGTGTTGCTCAAGTGTATGTGAATTTCTTATAAAAAAATTCCCCTAAAATCCTACTTACGTTCCACTTAAATTCGCGAAAGTAACGTTATTGCTATTAATTGCAATAATAATTTAATGCAATAACGTTATTGCTATTAACGTTATTGCACTAAAATATTATATTCACATTTCAAAGAAACAAAAATTATTCCGTAATTAAAAACTACTAAATTTTATATGTGAAAATGACCAGAGGGTACATTTATTTGGTAACCCCCATCCCCCAAAAAATTATTATTTATAATAATTTTGGGGGTATTAAATTAAAAAAATTATTATAAATTGGTGGATTAGAGGATATTAAAAAGTTCTAATTATTGGTATCTCTGGTTTATAAATGTATTGCTCCAAAGCAAATACATTAAGGCTTATGCTGATGCAAAATAAATAAACTGTTTACATGTAAATTACTTTCCCTATTATAAATTTATAAATAAGTTTTCCTTGATTTAGCATTTCTGTAAAGTGTCTTCAATAAGAGTTTTATTAAATGTCATTGAGATCATGCTTATGATCATCGGTTTTATCTTCATACCAATACGGATTATAAATTTAGCTATTTTTCTCATCTACCGCCAATTCATTTAAACTTCCAATCATTTATTTAAATCTATGAGGTCTAAATTTACTGAAATATATATATGCAAAGAGAGAAATAGATCCATCTCTGTCTATATATATATAGAGAGAGAGAAATGTAGATAGATGAGAAATAAGACATTTAGGACCTAATCCACAAAGGCACAATAGAAATAAAATTCAAAACCAATAGAATTCAAATATCCCCAATAAATATGTAAAACATTAATTGTAATATTTTTTACATATTTATTGAAGATTTTTGAATTTTATTATTTCGTGTCTTTGTGGATTAGGTTCTAAATTCTTATATTTTATCTATAATTGATTAATTTTTAGCAGCATATTGTGCGCAAATAATATTGGGATAATTTTGTTTTAAAATAAATATTTTTTGATACTGTTATATATACATAGACCGATATGTATGTATATTTAAAACATAAATAACCATAAATTCTAGATCATATTCACTACTTGAATTATAAAGTGGTCCATTTTTTTTTTCAAATTCTAAAAACTATTGCTTTTGTTTTGAATTGAATAATCATTGCCACCGAGTTGTTGAAACTTGTAGCGCATATTTGGGGTAAAAATACAATTTGTCGTTAATTTAAATTATTATATACAGTCCCGCCGCTTATTAAAATCACCCCCATTCCGTAGGTAAGTATATGAGTTTAGTAAGCGACTAAGTTTAATAGACAGTGATTTGTGTATTGCAAATCATGATATCAGTTTTAAAGTTTTCAGGTAAAATAATAACTAACAAAAAAAGAAAAAAATTGAAAACTTCCCAATTTTATATTACACCTCAAAAGAACTTTTTTAACGTTTTATGTGTTACCTATACTTATTAAATATCATGCTCTTTGCACTTAAACCATAAAATTCAGAATTATTATATAATACCAACAATATCACAAAATAATTTAAAAAGAGCATATCATTAAACTTTTCGGTACGCAGTCTGGTGCGCTGGAAATAATTCTTTTTTTTCTCGTACAGTGTTGCCTTTGCTCGCTTTGAAATCGTTGAGTATGTTGATCAAAAATTGGTTAAAGATTTACAAAACATGAAATAGACAATAAAACAAGTTGCAAATCTGGGCTTCCAGATGCGCGTATTCGAGTAGAGGACTATGTTATTCTAAACTGGATGTCTGTAGGTACCGTTGGGTTTTCACAGTACGGGAAACATGCATATTGTTACTTTTTTTTTTTTTTTCTGACACCAGCTGTTACGTTATTTTCTTCCTTCACGTTCGTACGGGGTTTGTAGATTTGGAGTGAATAACGACGACACTTGATGAAGTATCGAAACACACTTTATTTGCCAGTATTGTCAGGACAGCTCTAAAACACGTTTTACAGTCGTCGATGAACTACTATAAACACGCTGACACGATCAGCGATACAGCCTTCAGGTTGTCAGGTGCAGGTTGTCAGGTTATCACGGTGCAGACAGCTTCACTGCAAAGCACAGGAGTACAGCTCCCGACTCTGCTCGGTCGTTTTGGAACTCCACGTACTCTCGAGACTTTCCCCGCTACAACTCGTGATGCACTCGACGACACACAGAGCACGGCTCCCGACTCTTCGGTTCAGTCGTTCCCGGAGCTCAACACGCTCTCTCGACGATGCACTAACCGCGCTATACTAAGAGACTCCTTTGGTGAACTCGACGACCCACTCGGCACTCGCTGCCAGGCTGTGAACTCCATTGAGTCCGCAGGGATTGACTCGCTAGACGAGATACTAACTCTCTCGCACTCCGGACGAGGCACTCTGACTCGCCCTGTCGATGAAGCAAACACTGACTGACTGCGGAGCAGTAGAGTTTATATAGCTTTCGGTTTGTGTTCGAGAACATTCTGGGCTAAACCGATAAGAATTCGTTCCAGAAGGTTTTCCAACCGTCCATGGTATATCGCTAATTTTGTCACCGAATGGGTGATTTCTCGCCAAATGTGGCAACCCTGCCTTCCCTTGCCATTTTATGGCAACCCTAAAAATACTTTGCGGGGAAGCCATCTTACCGCGCCTCGACATTTCGTAACAATATATTATTTGTCTTTTAGATGCGACAAGCTATGCTAAAAATCTTTGCAATTTAGATAACGATCATGTGGAAACATTACATATGCAGTTTTGAAGCATTTGTGATACTGCGATTACACTGGCCATAAAGTAATGTCAGTTCATAACACGGAAAGAACGAATCTGTCAGAATCTTTGAGATAATTTGACTATATCAAATATTTTAATGCAAATATTGCTGATACACTCCTCCTTTTAAAGGGTGGCTGGGATTAAGGCACCCAATTGCCAAATCTTGGTGATGATGAATTATTGTTCATCCCCTTTTAGTTCGGGTGCCACAGTAGAATCATTGGGTTATTGATCGAAGAGAAAACACCTTCCACTAAAAGGAGACTTAGATAATCGGGTGCTCAAATAGTTACGAAATCCGGACTTAAGGACACTTGAAGTCTGAACACAAAGACGATGACTCGGATTAACACTTCAATGTACGCAGAATACAAGAATGAGAAACGGCATCAATGTGACAGGAATTCATCTCTAACTGTATCCATACCGACGGAATGCATTCTGCATTAAACTTATAATGGATAACGTTATAAGCAATTTTCTCCCTTCTTTCAGCATGTCTTCGTGAAGTAACGGTAGCACACCAGGCGCGTATTTCGAGAAGTCCAGGTTCGAGTCCCTGCAAGGGCACTGCACATTTTTCATGTCTCCCCTGCTTAAAAAAAATAAAAATCCTAATGACTCTACAGTGGCGCCCGAACTAAAATTTGGTGAGCAATAATTCGTCACCACCATCATCTGGCGATTGGATCCCCTAATCCCCAGTCTCCCTTCAAAAGGGGAAGTATAGAAGGTATTTAATTCCTAGTTTCAAATTAAAGCCATCTTACCGCGTCTGTACATTTCGTAACAGTATATTCTTGTATATTCTTCATTATTTAACTTCTTTAAATATAATGCAGGGCTCTAATATTTGGTCGCAACAATTTGAAAAGAAAAGCGCTGTTTATAGTGAGCAAACGTAAAATACCAAAACAAAATTAATAGCCCTTCTGGGCAAATTGCCTCTTTCGGCTAATAACTGAATAATGATAAAAAATTAATGCTAAAATTAAAATACTTATACGGTTTTGAAAACCATTGTATTTTTTTTTTTTTTATAATTATGTTCTTGATGCAATTTTTATCTTTTACGAACAACTATTTTAACTGTATTGATTTCATATCGTTTAAAAAACAGTTCGTCAATTGTACTTTTAATTTCATGAAACTACCGACAGCTTTCTTGGTCAGCAATTTTCAGTTTTTCTTAGGATTTGCAGTGCTTTTCTAAATTCGTTTCATGAGGGCATTTCATCGCATTTTTCCGTATCATTTTCTGCAGTTCTTTAGCTATTCGTCTTCAGATTTTGTCACATTATTGCTGTGAATTGACACCTATACTAAAAATGAGTCTTCACAATTTCTGTCCCTGATGTGTAAAATATTAGCTATATTTTGAAGTGCTTATGAGACTTCTCGTGTGTAAAAGCCAACATTTTCGAAAACAGTTTTTAACTGAGTTTAAAATATTAACCCCCTAATTTGACTATAATATATCTGACCTCTAGCAGAGATATCAACTTACTTTGTAAAGTTTAAAGATTTTCACTACGGCAAACTGTGTCCAAATCTTGACACACGTAAAGAGAGTTATAACTGAGTTTAAAAAGTAAGTGTAGGAATTAGAGAAGGGTGTAAAGACTCTTACACTGGTTATCATAAATTAAGGAAAAATCACGATTACTGAAAAAGTAATGTAGAATTTTATGAAACTTACCCACAAAATACAACACATAGTAAGGTATCAAATAACATAAAAAGAAATTACCAGACAATTATGGTAGTATAGAAATTAGCACTTGTATAAAATGAAAAAATCGAAGATGTCAGTTTGCTACAGTAAAAGAACCTTCAATATGGAATATAATCGACTCTAGAAGCAATACAGCACATTCAGTGATGTGCGATGCTTTCAATTATGCGGTCTATCAGTTCCATAGGAAGCGTGAGCCATTGCTCTAGCAAAGCAGTTGCAAGCGCGGCAAGGGTCTAATGGGGCGGATTGAGAGCAGCTAGACGTCTCCCTAAAGCATCTCAGACGCGCTCAATAG